TTTTTAATATGCTATCTAGGTTTGCCATAGCTTTCCTCCCAAGGAGCAAGGCTATACTGTATCTGAAAAGCTTGGGAAATAAAAAGAGCTGTGTTTGCTGCAGGATTAGCAGTTATCCTATATGTTTTTCCAAGTCTGTTTCCAACAGAGTCTCCTTGTGGCATACACATTGTAGGCATCTTGCACGCAGGTGGGGGAAATGATGACATGTGCGTGATGATGTCCTTAGGCATGTGCCATCTCTTTGGCATCATCATGGTTAGTTGCAGGTGCTACTGATGAGTTATGACAAAAGACATGGGAGGTATACAGTGTACATTTACTCTCTGCCTCTCAAAGGAATTCAATTGCTGAAGAATATTTCTTGGACTTTTCACTATTGAGAGGACTGGGGAGCAACTAAGGGAACAGAAACATAGCAGGATATTCTAAATATCACTCTTATACTAAGGAAAACCCAGCACATGCCCAGCAAAGTTAGTCTGGTAAAGTCACGTGGCCATCTTCAGTCTTTCACTTGAGAGGTCATCAATGTCAAATCTCATTTTCTCTTTTAGGTAGGGTGCCAAGTCTTGTAATCTGAGTTTCACATATCATATAAATTGGACTGCACAGTTTTTACTGTTCACCAAGCACAGTGAAACCCTTCATTCCCTCCCCCAATCCCTCTGTCTTCTACAAGTCTGATCCTAATATCCCCCACTTGCTATTTAAACACACACACATGAAATCTCTTATGGCTTTCACCAGGAATTTCTAAACTGACCTTGAATTGTCACCTCCTGTATTGAGAATACTTTCCAGGACAGTTCTTCTCTCAGATTCTATGTTCTGTGGTGTCAAATTAAGCACACTGTGTTTATAAACTGCATGTCAAATGATAAGTCACTGAAAGGAATGCTTCAGAGAAATTACTGATATTTTTTCATCGTTAATGTTTGCTTTTCTTTCCTTTAACATTAGGAAGTGTGAGGAGCTAAGTTTTCTGTTGAGCTGTCAAGAGTTTAGGGCTGGAAATTGCAACCAAGCACAATCTAACTTGTTCTAATCTCCAGTATTTGATTATATTATTATGGCTTTTTAAAAAACCAAATTTATAAAATAAAGTCCATAAAGCAATGGTCCTTCTAAAATTTAAGGCCAGACTGAAAAAATACAGAGCATGCCAGCCAAAAATAAGTCTGGATGCCGATCAACTTTCAGAATGTTTTTTTTCCCCCTCTAGTAATGAAACAAACATCCCAATAACATTTCAGTCTCTCTAGTTAATGGAAGACATTTATGGACAGCACTGACATTTTTAAATTGCCTGTTCAGCAGATTGCCTGTAGAAATGTTATTGCTATTTGCATAAGATAGATTTGATTTTCAAGTATTTAACTTGTTTGTTTCAGGATCACTATCTAGAGTAGAAACACAATGGCCTGATAAATACCACTGTCACAGTTTTCTGCACAGTTATGCAAATGATTAAATATTATCTCTTCAAAGGCTTCAATAAGTAGCATTTTGAGTTCATGTTTAAAATTACCCTCCTATTTGAAATGTCACAGCAATGGTAAATAAAAAGTTGCAAACACAACTGACCTTGAAGCTGAAGTGACACAAGTCCTATATGCTCGCAGCCAAGAAGTGTAAAGCGAACTCAAGTTTGTGTTGCAGTAAAATTGCAGGTCACATGAGAAGCAAAGTGAAAGGTGGAGGGACAGGGAGGGAGGACGAAAAAGATATCTTTAACTGGCCAATCTCCTTCCATTCAGGTATTTTAAAAACATTTGGCCGCAGAACTATGTCCCTAAAGGCATAATTATCTGTTGAGCACCTTTTGTATTCTTACTGTTAAAAAGTTTCATCTAGCCTGCTGTAGTGTTTTTTGACACTCTCGGTCCCAACCAGTGCCAATCTTTAATCTCTATATTAGTACATTCAGATGAACATTATCTTTTTTTTGAAGTATCAGATTTGCACTGCTGAGACAATGCTTGGGAAGATTTCCACATACATATGGTAGGCTATGTTCCCTGCTCCCCCCCCCCCCCCCCCCCCGATATATCTCGCTTCTTATTCTCATGAGAAGTGGGTTGTGTATGATAATGGGAATTATATCAGCAAAGTTACAGGTTTCACATGCTGAGATTAATCAGCATGCATATTTGTGCAGCATCTCCAAGGTTGGCTAGCTGTGCAGTTTTTTTCTGGACTCTTGTAATCAATATCAGAAATGACAATATAATATAAAGTGAGAGGGGGGGCACTGAGGCCTTGTATTTTTTCCATTAAGGAACTGCCGCACACCTGGGTGGCAACAATTTGCCCGAACAGATTTTGCATATGTTTTAGTGCCTTGCTCCAAGATATCTTCGAAGATATTCCCTACTTACAAGAACCTCTATTACCATAAGATGACGTTAGATCAGCACTCTGGTCATTATCAAATTGGAAAGCTACAGGAACTGATAGAATATCCACAGAAATATGGTAAACAATAGAAGAAGAATTAGGTTCTAACCAAGCTATGCTAGCAAATCAACACAGTGGCCAACAGATTGGAAGAGATCGATCTACATTTTAATACCAAAAAAAGGAGACTTAACAGAGTGTGCAAACTATCATACAATATCCTTAATTTCACAGGCTAGTAAAATAATACTTAGGATCATCCAACATAGATTAGAGCCCTACATGGAAAAGGAGATGCTAGAAAAAGCTGAGTAACACAAGATATTGATGATGCATGTTGGATAATTTAAAAAGCCAAACAATACCAAAAAGAAGTCAGTATAGGTTTCACTGAAAATAAAAAGGCTTTGATTGTATTAATCATATCAAGATATGGAATATGCTTAGAAAAATGGGAATCCCAGAACATCTAATTGTCCTCATGCAAAACCTGTATATAGGTCAGGAAGCCACACTATGGACATAATATGGTGAAACAGACTGGCTACAAGTTGGCAAAGGAATGAGATAAGGCTGTATAGTCTTTTCTTATTTATTTGACTTTTATGCTGAATATATACGTATTAAAGGAAGCTGGATTGGAAGAAGATGAATGTGGTTTTCCAGTGGGAGGGAGAAACATCAATGACTTGCACTAAGCTGATAACATTACTCTGATAGTTGAAAATGCAATGGAACTGCAAGCTCTAGTAATAAAAGTCATGCAGCACAGTGAAAAATAGGACTAAAATTAAATATAAAGAACCAATGACACAGGTAGAAAATACCATAGACAGCCAAGAAAACAAACAAATGGATCATCAATCAAATCAATCCAGAGTTCTCAGTTGAATCATAAATAACCAGGCTCAAATGATCGTATTTTGGACACATTATGCAATGACATAGCTCTCTGAAGAAGACTCTAATGTTGGGAAAAGTAGAAGGAAAGAGAAGAAGAGGATGTCTAGCAGCAAGGTGAATGGACTCAGTTACAGATGATGATGGGTCCAGGTTAGGGACAGATTGTCAGAGAGAAAAATCTGTGTGATCACCAGAGTCAACACCAACTTGATAGCACATAATCAATCAATCAATCAATCAAACATCACTCTGATGTCTGTGGCAGTGTTTAAATTACTGAAGTTCTTTCAGTTACATTGTGTACAGCTGTTTGTATGTATGTTTGTAAATAACAACTTATCCAGAAAATAAAAATTCAAAAGAACAAAAATTAGTCCATCTGATCCAGATGTATCTGCACATTGGAACAAATAATCAAAACAGAGTCAGGTAAATTTGTGGAAGATGAATGACAATCAGTGTTTAAAGCTGTTAATAGCACTGCTGTACAGTAGATAGATCACAAAATTGTTTCTGTAAGTTATTATGTACACTGTTTGGATGTGTGTCAACTCCCCTGCCTCCCAGCCCCCTGAGGAACATGTGCAGCACTGCCTCAAATTGGCTAGGAAAAAAGTATCAAATAGGAGGAAATTATAGGAACAGAAAGGTTTACTAAATAAGTGTGGACTTTAGATCAGAATTTAAATGTTAAAACCAAAACAAAACACGAATACAATATGTGGATTATTATAACAACATGTTTGTGGTAAACATTTAATAAGAATTGTTTAATTATTAGAGGTGAGATATGATGGGTCTCCAGTGACTTTCAACTGTCATCTAATAGAAACATGGTAGAATTTGACAGGCAAATTCGTTTCCATTCTAGGATAACTACAGTGCTTTTCTCTGCCAGATAATACATCCTTTCTGTTGTTGGAAAATAAACATTTTAGGATTCAGTTTTTTTGTTCACATAAGCTGTTTAGCTCTAAGCACACAGTAGCAAAACCTTGCCTACCTCCCTCCATCCAAAGCATTCTCTTTTAACGTGGATAAGGCTGTGTTTGAAGAACTGATCAATACTCTGAAATATGTTTTTGTTCATGAATGTCCCTTAAATATATATCTTAAATATAATTCTTAGGCTGTAATTTGAGGTGTGTGTGTGTGTGTATGAATACATAGATACATACACATAGTATATATATACAGTCAGGTCCAGAAATATTGGGACATCGACACAATTCTAACATCTTTGGC